GGCGGCTTATCATGTTATCAGGATACAGGGTGCATGAAAGGGTTAATATGCGTGACTGTCATTTTTTGTCGAAGGAGAAAAAAAGCAGCAAGAACGGAGAGCAGCATCGTGCAGTATATGCTGCTGTTGCCGCTGCTTGTGAACTGAGTTCGCCGCCACCATCCAACTGCTTGCATCTCAAGTTTGTGCTTGCACAAACGGCAGCTCGTATCCCCCAAAAAAAGCTTAAGTCGGGTCGCTCACTATATTGAAAAAGGGATAGGCGTATTCATAATTTTTTTTCTACTCACAACGCTGCTGACTATTCCTTGTGGCTGTTGACGTTGATTCCCGTATCAATACGATTAAAAAAAAAATAAAAAATCATGTCCAAAGGGTCAAACGATGTTTGGCAACCCTTGGTTTCATTTTATTATCCCGTTTGAGTGCCGTGTAGATTTCACATGTACTTTCCTCGCCATTAAATCACTTAACCATTCCAATATGGCCGGCGTGGAGAGCGCGGCGGAGAGATGTTAAGTGCACGGGGCCACTTTAGAAACATGAAATGCGCTTCATTGTCTCCTTCAGCTTTTATCCTGGCGTCCTCTCTCTTGTCACTACTTTTAGAACGTAATAAATGAGCTCTGGCCATTATTAAAGGGAGGGTGGAAAGGTGGTAGGGAGGTATTTGCAGCATCTGCCTGCTCAACTCGTCTCACTCTCTCTCTGGCCTCTCAAAGACAATGACATCAAAAAAAAAAAAAAAAAAAAAAAGATTTGCTGCACCGTCCTCCTCCCCCCCTACAGCGGTGCAACCTGAAACTGCCTGAAGAGATGAGCCGCCATTAAATACCGCAGAGCTGACATAATGACAGCAAAGATAAAAGAGAGGAAACCAAAAAAAAAAAAAAAAAGAAAGGCCAGACCAATTCTCGTCCATCCCCCTCCAACCCCCGCAGCCTTGCACGGTCTCAACTAATAAAAGACATCGGGCCACTGATAGGCCCAATGGCTAGAACTTTACTTGCTCTGATCTTTGACAAAAGCCAGGTCAGTTTACCGAATAACGCAACTCACAGAGCCCCTCCCCATTTTTTATTCAACTTTTGCTTTGAAAACTGAAATGACACCCACAAGGGCGCAAAATGCTCAATGACAAACACATTAAATTCCAAAAATGTATGCATACACTAAACATCTCCAAATGTTAACCTCAGACTCAGTAACAGTGAGATCTGTCAAATTATTCATGTGCGCGCCAATATTCAATGTACGCAAGAACAATGAAGAAAAAAAATGCCTGAATGTTCAAAGCAAAATGAAACCTGCAACATTCCAAGTTTCTGTCACGTCAAGCTATCATCGTTGCACACTCACACGACTGCACCCGAATCACCCACACTAAGTTAATATGCTAGCAAATGGCTAATTTACGCTGTCGTTGATTAAACTGGTTTGGACACGGTGCCAAATAAATATTTTTTATGATAAAAATAAAAAAATCGGAATTACAATCTGGATCAAAATAAGTGTCAAATGGCATATTCGTACAGCCCTAATTAGAGGCATATATTCTGCCTACTCAGTGAAAAACGATTTACATAATATTAGTGGGGCGGCACGGTGAGCGACTGGTTAGCATATCAGTCTCACGGTGCAGAGGTGCAGGGTTCGATTTCAGCTCCAGCCTTCCTGTGTGGAGTTTGCATGTTCTCCCCGTGCCTGCGTGGGTTTTCCCCGGGTACTCCGGTTTTCTCTCACATTCAGAAAACGTGCATGGCAGTTTAGAGGAACACTCCAAATTGTCCCTAAGTTTGAGTGTGAGCGTGAATGGTTGTTCGTCTACAGGTATGTGTGCCCTTATATTGGCAGGCAACCAGCTCAGGGTGTACGCCGCCTGCAGCCCGAAGACAGCTGGGACACCCGAGACGCCCGGGACCGTTGTGAGGAGAAATGGATTAGAAAATTGATGGACGTATATTAGTGGATTAATTAGGAACAGGATTAATCAGTGTGTGTACTCATACTTGAGTTGAAAAAGGTAACAAATGTGCATCCCAAATTAGCATTTTGTCATGTAAACAGCTAGCCAGCAAAAAAATAAAAATAAAAGTTTCAGTTAAAAACTGCCTTGCATAAACACCCAGAGTAGTTTTTTTTTGTTTGTGCAAAACAAATTGCGCTGAAAATATAACTTTCTTGGCAGAGGCACTACTACGACTACTACAGCTGTTGCCGCTGCGTTCCATTGCCTGCGTCATCGCCGCCAAATGCTAAATTTGGAAAAGGGCCGAGGGGGGAAGCACCGCTCGGGAGACATTTGCCGTTAAATATAGAGCGTAATAAAATCCAGACACGCGATACAAACTAAGATACCTCTGTCTTAACGTGCCGTGTCCTACTACTGCGCTACGCCATGTGGAGCTCGGCCACCATCCAACTACGCATTCCGATGTTCTGTCATGTTGTGCTGAGGCAATATTTATCTCGAAAGGAAAGTGCACTTGGCACACGGCCGAAACTGCACTGAGGAGGCGGAGGAGGGGCCTGGGGGAAGGTAGGAGGCCGCAGGAGTGCTCGGAGCGCTGCTACTGTGTGTACAACTTCCAACATTCCCACCCAAAATCCTCACGTTGACCCGGACAACCACCCACAGCCTCGCCGCCTGCTGACTTGACGAGCAGGACCCGAGCCAAACCAGAGGCTCTCTCACACACACACACACACACACACACACACACACACACACACACACACACACACACACACACACACACACACACACACACACACACGAAGGCGAAGTGCTCACGTTGCTGCACAAGCCTGGCCCGATGCCAGCACTCACTTAAGCGGATTTTTCGCCACAAAAGCCAATTGTGGGTCAAAGCTACACACACATGTTGGAAGCGTCTGCGAGCATGTGGGAAGGTGACGTCACCAAAATAGTGGCCGAGAATGTTAGCAAAAGTGTGCGGGACTGAGATTTTGCAAACACAATCACGTTACCGTGACCAGAACAGAAGACAATAAATATTCTGATATTATATATAATGGCAAATATTGGAAAATATGTAATATAATATTCCAAATATTCATCTGAAAATCATAAACGTGAACAAAAAAAATTCTTGCAACACATTAAGGCACGTTAAAGCAACCAAAAAAAAAAAAACACTTCAATGGCTACATATCCATTGACAATGATCCACCCAGAGGTCTAAAGTACACTGTATTTTCATCACCAAACTAAGGAAAATGTCAAAAATAATCAGAAACACACACATAGACACCGCCCCCATATTTTGTAAAAAAATGAGAACGGCAACTGGCACCTCGACTTGACCAATCAAAGGGAAATGTCAATAGTCTCAAACGTTCACCCAGAATGTTTTAAAGGTGCATGAACACCACAAAAATTCATGTTAACAAAATTTAAGACACTTTAATGCATCCAAAAGAAAAAAAGAAAAGTAAAACATTGAAAAGTTCACAAAAGTTACACATTGACACAACATTCAGTCAAATGCCTTAACAGAAAGGGGGGAGGGGGGGGGGGTCTGTGACCGCACAAAAACCAAAGGCAAGTTAACACAACAAAAACGAAGGACAGAGATCGCAAAATGCTTACACGTGAGATCATTCAACTTGTGTGTACCCACACTTAAATTAATGGTGCATTAATATGGCCGAAAATAAGAAAAATGCCTAAATGTAAGTGAGCCCATATTGGTCTCACCATCCTTCTTTTCATGTTCTACTACACAAGTTGCAGAACCGGTATGGCCATATCAAACAGTTGTTTGGTCTGCGACATTCCTTGGGGTGGAGGATCTTTTGACATCTTGATTTTGTGCATTTGTGTGCCTCCCAGGGCGTTCCCCTAGAAAGGGATACGCAAAGCCTGTGAGATTAGCCCAGGGCTAACAGTAGGGGGTTGAACTGAGAACTCAAGTCAAACGCCCAGGCATCCATCTCCATGGTGGACTCATAGTGGGAGCCGACCATCAGCTCCCTCATCAAGAAGGCTCATTATCCGTGTACTGAATATTTATCAGCGTTTTGCGGAGAATTTTTCGGGGTTTGTTGGGTTTTTTTTTTTTTTTTGTTTCCAATGCATATCAATGGCGATGAATTATCTGCCAATTTTTGGCTTTTCGAGGACCATTCCCAATCCCCGGTGACTTGTGAGGGTCGACTGTAAAGTAAATAAGTTATTTGAATAGATAGGATAGACTGGTCCGCCTTTTGTACGGATTTAAAAAAAAAACCACACATTTTAACTGTCCAATAGAAAACCAAAAAAAACCCGATCATTCTCTTTGCATTCTGGATAAGTATACAGCTGCAAACAAGACACTCAATATAGACAAACAAGCATTCAAATTCCCTTTCACAACCAAGGACAATTAAAGAGTCTTGACTAAACCAAACATGCATGTTTTGGAGTGTGGGAGGAAGCCAGAGTAGAGGTTGCACAACTTCACATTTCTGAAAGTGAACACAAATGTGATCTAAGTCGAGTAGACGATAAGTCGCTCATGACATTATTGGTATTTTTTTTCCACTGATGGGGGGTCTTAAAATCACAGGAGCGAGAACACTTTGTAATGATCTATATTCATTAACGGTGATGTTGTTTAGTCGACCAATTGACTAATCTGTCCAATCCCTAAACCTGGAATACTTGGAGAAACCCCACACATGCACAAGAAGAATATGCAAAATACACTCAGGAAAGCCAAGAGCTTGGATTCAAACCCCAATTCTCAGACCGGAGAGGCAGATTTGCGAACCACTTAGCCTTATACTGCCTGGGTGTAACCAGATATAAAACATGTCGTATGTTTTGCATTTTGTTCCCTGACTGTACCAAATCTGAAGTGAACTTGACCATAAAACCAATGTATGGACTGTACGTACCAATGTGTGATTTCCGGTGTGGTTATATCGGCCATGTTAAACACAACAACAATTATGATGTGGCATGCGATTAAAACAGCTTTGAGGAAACTGACCTGTCTGAAGTGGTCGTCAAAGCTCCAGTCAGCCTGGCCGTTGGGGGAAGTGGCCTGGTGAGCACCCGCTGGCGACAGGTCCTCATCGGGCTCCTGCTTGACCCTGATGGGCGGGGACGGCGCCCTCTGTGGTGCCGACGCCACAAAGCTGCCGTAAGGTCGGGCAGGCGGCATGCGAGCGGCGCTCTGCTGCAACGCCAGCGTCTGCTTGCGGAGGAACTCGAGGCCGCCGGCAACGTTTCCGCTCTCCCCATCCTCATCGCTGCGCTCATCACCATCCATCATCTCGTTGTCGTCATCCTCGTCGGCCGAGTCGCGGCCCCGGTCCTCATCGTCCTCCTTCTCAGAGTCTACACTGCTCTGATTGGTTACACGTGGCGGCAGCGGAGGTGGCAACGCTCCGGCCAGGCCCTTGCCCATGAAGTTGGCCCCCGAGGCCCTTGCCGCGGCTAGGATGGCCTGTTGGGCAGCCACCTGCTGGGCATACATGATGTGGGCCTCGCGCAGCTTCCTCTCTTTGCGCTCCATCTCCAGCCGGGCTTGCTGCTGGCGCTGAAGTTGCTCCATCACCGCCTCCAGCTTCATCCCCCCCGTGGAGGTGCTCTGAGGAAAGGCTACACCAGGCTCTTGAGACATGCTGGGCTGCGGGCAAAAGACCATACCATCAAATACCTTGTTGTTAACAAAGGCAAGTTGATTTTTATAGCACATTTCATGCAGGAGTCCATTGTGGTTAACAAAGGAATATAAGTAATCATTAAACAGACAACATAAAAGGAGATAAAATGAAACGACAGAACAAATCACAGACTATCAAGTTAAATTCAAAGGATAAAAGCAAGATGAATTTATGAAAAGGCAAAAAAATAACATGAACCACCACCCCGAAAGCCAGAATTGCATTGCTGCTGCATTAATTGAATCCCAATCACAATAGGAGTAAATCAATCACTGTTCTACGAGTTTCATGTATAGGAAAGGCAAAACAAGATGGATAGTGAAGCAGATAGGCACATCAGATGGACTGATATGAAAATGGAAGAATAAATGATAGCTAAGCAACAGGCAGGAGATGTATGGAGATTGATAGATATTAGAGATAAGAGAAAACCATATCAACCTGTAATACCCGACATCTTGAAAGTTATGCTTTAACCAACCTAACATTCCTAAACTTGCAGTACAAGTCTGGTAAACGTACATTTTAGATTCAGAACATTCTCGCTTAAACACCTGAGACTAATGTTATCGTATTTCGACGTTACATGGCAATTATAGTCGGTTGGATTTAAAAGTCAAATGCGCAAATTTGACTGAACGATTCGTATGTTACTAAGAGTGGCTCAACAAAAAATGACGTAAAATGACCTCCGGGTGAAAACGAAGGCGCAAACTGTCAAAAAAAGGGGGGTCGCCGTTCCACCTTTTGCAGGCATTCATCATCCTCCGGGTGGTAATACATTTTTTAAAATGCTTAAAATGATATGACTACAAGTAATATTTAAACAAGCTTTTGGGTTTTTTCCCGACTTTTTGGCTTTTTTTTAACCACACTGGCCTCGCGCGCGCTAATTCAGCAGACCGTTAAAAATAAACTCAAACGGCGATTTTTTTCCATTTTTTAAAATGCTTAAAATGATATGACTACAAGTAATATTTAAACAAGCTTTTGGGTTTTTTCCCGACTTTTTGGCTTTTTTTTAACCACACTGGCCTCGCGCGCGCTAATTCAGCAGACCGTTAAAAATAAACTCAAACGGCGATTTTTTTCCGCCCGGTTTTTTGTCTTGTTTATTTGTAAAAGCAAACGGGAATGCAGAGGAACCCAAAGGGGAGAGCACTACTCACCATTTGCGCCTTACTACTGCCGGAGTTGTCCACCATGCCTCCCGATTGCCTCGCTGCTGGCACTCGTTCAAACTCACTTGTAAACACACGCGCACGTCAGCAGACGAGTACGCGCACGTCTGGGGCGGAAGAAGAGGAAGGATCAATGCACTCACGACGCACACAAGCATCAAAAAAAGCGCTAAAAGCTATTATTCCCGCTGCTTCTTTCCACTCAATATATATATGAGACACGGCTTTTTTTCGCACTCTGTCTTATTAAATTATTTTCTGAGCCTTTTTTTTTTTTTGCTTGTTTCCAGAGAAAATTCGACTAACTCACTGGTCTGCGACCCCCCCCTACTTTACAAATGACACCCCAGTTAAACACACTGGCACGGGTATCGTGCCCTTTATTGCTCACTTGCGGAAATTTGCTCAAGAGTGTTGTATCGGCCGTTGGAAGATGACTGGACGTTCGATGGTCCGTTGCGTTCAAAGCAGCTTGGAATTTTCATAAAATCCTAATTGAGTAACTTTTTTGGGCTAAGATGTCAAGTGATTGTTGACGTAAAAAGGATATCGTCACACAATTGAACTAGTACTTATCCATTACATGTATTACACTAATAATCAATAAGAACCGTGCTGTGTGATAATCCTGACATGTAGCAACTCCGATTGAACGGTGAATGCATCTTCCTGGTCTTTCAACGAAGGCAAAAGAACGCATCGTAGCGCTGCACTGCCCCCTGGAGTGGAAAATGTAATCACACGAGACAGAATGGATCTTTTATTTCATCATGTAAACAAAAAAAAAAACCAAGAACAATCGTATTAAAAGTAAACATACGCACTGTAAAATAACAAAATGTCGACGAGTATATTGTCCAGCAATTGCATAGCATAGGTTGACTTTTACTACCAACCAGTGATGCTAAACTAAGGTGGGCCAAAAGGATGTACACGTATTGTTTAAAATGGTTTTAAAGTGCGGAAGGAAGTGAAGAAGGCAGATAAGGAGTTAGGAAGAAGGATCGGGAGGAAGTATGGATGGCGGCCTCACAGTCCCTTTTCGTAGCAACGTGACAAGATTTCCCCAAAATGACAGTCAAGATGCCGAGACTGGTTGGAAATGCCACTTCAACCTGAGTTTTCAGTTCAAGGCATCAATAATTTTGTACATTGGATTATGGGTTCCTGAGAAATGTGTTTTTTGTGTTGGGAAAATTGTCTTTTGGGGGAATGTTTTTGTGTAACATCAAAAAAATGAGAGGGAGAGAGAGAGTGTCAAAGAAATGCCCTGAAATAGGGCAAAAGATTATTCTCAAGATATCTCCTCGCCCCTTTTGTTTTGTCGGATACTCTGCAAAACCCTTCTCCAATTGCGTGACAATATTTTGTTAAAAATCTACATGAATACAATCATACAGGCCGAAATTCTAAGATGTTCTATGAATTGCCAGGTCAAAACTTTTGTGACATTTCGAACGGCGTCCCTTCCCCTAAAAGCTCGAGTTAAGTAGCGCGTTATTAGGACATTATTCAGGAGAAGACCGGTGTGGGTATGTATTGAGTGTTTTCAATCAATTTATTTGTTATGAAGGATTATAGAGGTGTTTGAAGTCCTCATTCTATTTTTTTAAAATAGAGAATTTCACAAGGATGGCAAAGGAAGCCACTTGTCACATTGCTACTTTATTCCTATCTGTCTGTCCAGGTATCCCTGTGTTCGGGTAGATCCTGGAGTGGTCAGCAGTCAATCACAAGGTACATTTGACAAGCGTTCATTGAGATGGATGCAGATCTGAATTTTGTGGTGCGCTAATATGTGTTGCGGTGATCTACAAAAGTTTGAGGAATGTTCCATTGTTGGAGGATATTTAATAAATGTTATTTTGGTTCAAGTGTAAATGTAAAAAAATAAAAAAGCGTATACATATTTTGGGCGCCCCCCGAAAAAAAAAAAAAATCCACCCATCCATTTTCTAGACCACATACCCTCAGAATAACATCAACCATTTGTTCGTTGATTGCGTCAGAAGGTCATTTTAAATGGTTTTACGCTGTCATTTGCCGTCGCTTATAGAGTAAGTGCTTTCCCTCGATGAGAAGAACCAACACCACGACAAGAGGAAACTTATGCGGGTTGCAACCACTCATAGAGAAAAATGCTCTTTCTATTCCGCAAATGTACAGTAAAAGGCAAAGCGCTCGCCCTTTCTCGGTCTCACACACAATAAACATTTCCAACGGTTGCAACCATAGATTTGTCACACAATGTATTGAAAAAAGAAAAAAAGACATACAGCAATTCTTTTCTGAATGCTGCTGTTCCCATCTCTGGAAGTTATAAATAAATAATAAATACATCTACTAGTTATAGCGCCAATGCAAAACTCTTGACGCAACATTGCTTCTCAACTCACCAGAAACCCCTTTGGTGTAAAGCCCTACAATGTCTCTTCTTTTCCAAGCTGAATGCAAGCAATCTATAGCGTGTTGTTTGAGACTTAGATTAACTTTTTTATTTTCACATGCCAGAGACCATCCCACTGCATTTGCTACTTCACTTATTGGCTTAAGTATTTTGGAGACAGTGCACATTTATGTGAACGATTTGATTGAGGTGACGATGAAGGTGCCCTCCGGGCTACGCAGACAAGAAAAAAAAATCGGAACACTACGAGGGGGAAAAAGTTGCAATGGTATCCAAAAAATACCAAAGTTTTGCGCGAAGAAAGCAACCTCATGAGAATGAGGTTACAATGTTAGAAGACGACGTAATATGATGAGAAAAAAAAAGATTTGAGAGTATAAAAAGTTGAAAAGTTACAAGAATATGTTATAAATTTGTAAGGTGACAATAATTATGTTTTATATTTATTAAATAAAGTCACAATGCTATGAAAATAAAGTAACATGATCCTGAAATCTTAATGTTACATGAAAAAAGTTGGAGCAAGCATTTAGGTACATGATTGAAGTTGTAAAGAATTCAGTTTTAGAATAGTTGTCATGTCGAAACAATTAAATCTTAATGTTACCCCAAAAAAGTTGTAATAGAAGAATATGAATTGGTATGCGAATAAAGTGGGACATGTTACAAGAATTCTAATGCTAGGAAAAAAAAAAAATCCTCCTTTCTCAAAATATATTTGGAACGTGATGAAAAATTTGTAAAGTTATGCAAAATAAAACTGCAATGTTACGAGAGTCTCCTCGTAATCTTGTGACAACAAATTCCTAACATTTCAAGTGTAACGTTGTACGGTTGCAGGAATAACGTTGTGACATTGCGAGAACGCCCTAAACATTGAGACTGATGTAACGTTCAGAGAGTAAATTCCATTATTAGAATAAAGTTATGTTACAAGACTACAGACATTCGCTTATGACAAATTCGTAATGTTACGAAAATAAAGCCGGACTGTTATAAGAACAAAGTTGTAATGCTACATGAATGAAGCCCTAATGTGATGAGGAAGAAAGGAAGTAGGTTGTAATATTAGGAGAGTAAAGTCATAATGTTATGACCATTAAGTTGTAAAGTTGCATGAATAAAGTCATAATGTCATAAAAAAAAGTCGGAATGCGAGTCCAATTTTTTTTGTAGCATTATAACTTGTATATTATATTCAACTGCTTGTTTTCCTCCTAAAATCAATGAATTGCCATATTATATATATTTTTTCCCCTTTGCAATGTGGCCCTAATACTCCTCGGTAGTATCATAATAATGAAGCCCACTAATTATTCTACAAAAAAAATAAAAAATAAAAATGCATGATTACTGAGCCATTAGCATGGCATCGTTATATAAGCGAGCAAGCCGTTTTCAACCCTTTAGATGGGTCAATCATTTGATAAGAGAACACATTTCAATGTCGGTTTCACCCCGACGCCAGCAAAAGTATTCATTTAAACTAGAAAAAAATGCATCACTCAAGCCCATGCATACACTCTATGTGTACTTAATATCCTATTCAAATCCATTCAGGTTATTAATGTGGGAGTAGGTGACATTAATGTAACAGCAATCAGGGAATGTTAGAATTGCAAATGAAACATGCAGATGCCACACGTCCGCACCAGTCACTCTATTTGTAGTGCTAGCAGAGTGAGACGTTTGAAAAAAAATAACAAATACAAAAATAGGGTCAAGCTTTGGAGTCACAGTGGATAAGGCTTTTTGTTTGTTTTGTTTGTTTTTGCCGTCCATCCGATGCGGTTGAGGAGAAGCCCCGCTCTCGGCTCCAGAGTAGGAAACACCCCCGGTTCAGGGAGGCAAGAAGGTAGCGTGCGCCGGCCTCCCAACAGCCGCTACAAACCTGCTTTGGCGGTCCGCAGTAGCGTAGCAGCTTTTCACTGCGTGCAGCAGGACGGAGCTTCTATGCAGCAACACACGGAGGAACCCATGGCTTTGGGTGGGATCAGGTCCAGATCCTCGTCGTCGGGAATCTCGTCCAGCCGGTAGCCGTCTTGCAGCAGCTGCCTACTCAAGTCCGGATGGATCTGACAGGGACACAGCGAAACAGTTTCAACAAAAATGCAAGCTATCAAAACAGAACGAAAGAGGCTTGAATTTCACCTGATATTAACACTGTCATTTTGTACTTGGGGTGGGCAGTGGGGGTACAGTCTTCAACATGAATGGGCATGAGGCTCCGATGGTAGTTTTAAGTAATTAAGTTTTAGTAGTTGAATAAACGCTCAGTTCCAAAATCAGTTTGGAATGACAATACAGATATTTTCGACATTCGTGAACTATGCTAAGTTCCAAAATCAGGTGCATTTCAATGACAATACAGATATTTTCGACATTCGTGAACTATCCCCGCCCACAGATAGCAGGGGGTTGACTACATTCTGAAAAAAAAAAGACAATCATATGCAACGGCCCTATTTGCCGCTGCCCATATGAAAAGGTGAAATTACGAGTGGAAAAGTGCGTGGCTGTGGGAGTACTCACCTCGGCCGAGGAGTAGCCCGAGGAGCACTGCTCAAAATCAATCTCTTCATCGCTACAACAACACGAACAACCAGTTCTGTTACTCTCATTGTTGAAACCTTTGGCGTGTGGGAAAAAACAAAGACGGACAGGACAGAACAGGTTCTGACTTGACAGCAGCATTTGTGTCTTTACCTGTCAGAATCCAATGCAATCAAAGTTTCCTCGGCATGTTGACTCAAGGCAGTGTAGCCCTTGTTATACTTGACTTTTCTGTAAAATAATTCAAGACAATGACGCTCTCTGCTACGGGACATTGTAGGACATGACACCAAGTCTTGTTGTTACCTCTTGGCTCCTTGTCTGGGCTGATGCATGACAGGCGGTCCCGGTGAGAGAGCCTTCTTCTTAAGAGCTTTCCTGGCGAGCTCCCTGTGTTTTTCTATGATGTTAGCAGTGGTTAGCATACAATTACAATACAAAATGTCACCCTCCATTATTTTACACCCTGCGCGAGTGAGTTACACAGTAAATCCTTCAGACAATCAACATCAACGGCTAAGTGGGAATGAATGCCACTCTTAACAGTACGGGAATAAAGTCTGAATATTATGTCATGAAGGTGTCAGATACTATGAAAAATGACAAAATGTTATAAGTGTGAAACAGTCATAAAACATTACGAAAAGTGATATATTAAGTTGTGATCGTACGCAAATTTTAAAAAATAATTTGTAAAGCAAAAGAAAAGTGGAGCTCAAAGCAGTCGTAATGTTACAAGATTAAAGTCACAACGTTATGTCAATTAAGTTTTAAAATACTGCGAAAAAAAGTTGGAGCGATAGGATAATAAATTCGTAACATATAGTGATGTCCTGATGATTTTTTTTTTTTTTTTTTAGCACAAAAGTCCGATGTCATCGTGTTGACATATCTTATGTGTATATATCAAGCATGACTCGTTGTGGAACAAAACAAAAAAAAATGGTAATATTAAATGACAAAATCTGAAAAAAAAATCTATTTTTCATGTGAAATGTTGCAAGAATCAAGTCATAAAATATGACCAAAATGTGGGCAAAGATGTAAACGAATTTGAAAATAAATAAATAAATCATAATCTGCACCTTTTTTGTGTTCACCAAAATGGAATCCTTTCTTGCTGACACGTGCTTTACAAAGCATTTCACCAATTTTCACTGTGTCAAGGTTCAGAATGGAGCAACTTGTTTCCTCACTCACTATGCTTTTTTTTTTTTTTTTTTTAGAAACTACAAAGACTCTGTAAAACTGTGTTCACTGGCTCTCGTGAGCAGTAACTCACGACAACTCACGTAGCTTGAGGTGGATGGCTGGCGCCCTGGACATGATGTAAGGTCCTCTCTTCTCCGTCGACCTGATGCCTCCATCGCTGCTTTTGGGCCTTGCGCCACTACCGGGCACCTTGAGTGGCAAATTGGTGGATATCATTTACATTCACTTCATTACACAGTCATCAATCAATGAATCAGGTTAAAATATGTAATTTCAAACTGTCAGTGCAGAAAATGCACAAAAACAAATGAATTTATCTGAATTTATTGTAATGTGATAAAAAATAGGCAAAAATGCTCAATGTTTTCCAAAGTCAAAACGAAGTTTGCAACTGTTCTGTTATGATTCAACACAAAGATAATAAGTCTGCTTTCGTGGAGGACTACAGAAATGAGAGAACATTTACTGTTGAGAGGCTGAAATTCCCGAGAATGTGGCCAATTTCAGATTAAACCTTGTGTTGAAATGATTAATCGATGATCAAACCAATTACTGTATCGATAAATTGTATAATTGCTAAGTTGTTGATTAATCGATCCAACTTTTACTGTCCCTTGTGATTGGTTGGCGACCAGTTGAGGATCTAAATCTGCCGGGGTCTGCCCAATACATGCCTGGCCTTCTCTAAGTTGAGTAAATAAATCCTAATAGTTTCCTATTGATGACAAGATGAGCTAGCTCTTTCTGAACTAGCTAAATAATGTATGTACAGTTTAATAACATTAGAAAAGAGCACCCTGCCGTTAGAATCCGAATAACAAATTTTCCAAATTACAGAGGAGACATTAATTCGAGTTTTTTTAAAGTATGTAGCCATGTAAACAAAATCATTAAAACTCAAATCAGGTGTTTCTTTCAGTGGACACAAACTAAGTGAGCTAGCTCGTCGTAGCTGCGTTTAGCTCTTAGCCCGAATAGCTTTGGCTAGCCGCGAGAGCTTTACCGTCAAACTCGGAGCCTCTTCGAGCAAGTTGTCCTTCTCCGGCTCCTCGGAGATGTCGTTCATCATCGCGGCGTCGGTTGTCACAACATATAGCAGCTCAGCATGCCCATGACTAGCCGGAATTTGTTGGCAACACCGACAGGCAGTGGAGAGAGGATTAGGCTAGCTCGCTACTGGTAAGCATTCAATGCTTTTCCGGTTAACATTTCAAAATAAGATTTTGTAGAAGAAGTGAAAAGATTTTCGTGGTAGCGTATTCTTGCTTTTGTAAGTGGATAACGAAGACACATTTGATATTTGCGTCGGAATAAATGGATAATTACAAAAAAATAGCCACTTGACGGTCTTTTTTTCAAAATAAAAGCATATGGGTTGAAATAAAATGGAATTTTGGGATCCAGTACAGTACTGTTTCTTACATATTTATGGAAGTACTGTATAGTATTGCAATGTATTGATGACTCAATATTTTTAACCAACTGTAATAACATTAAATTTAAATGTCGGCCACTGGAGAAAATTTGTTTTTGAACACTATTCACTGTTGGTAAAAGTATTTATGATTACAGGTACTTGCCTCTCCAGAGTTAAAATTCTACGAAAAAATAAAATAAAAATGGACAGAGCTGAACCACATGTTGTGGAGCGACATGTGCATCATTTGATGCATTATGTAGGAAGAACACACACACTTCTGACAGCATTTGTTTATTCGGTCCACCACTTTTTACATAACAGGACAGTACGGGATCAATTAACACTATGGACATTTTTGACAGAAGACAGTTTAAGAGAGTTCATCTCTCCGAGCACCTGAGGGGGAGGGGGGAGAGGATGAAATTTGTATTGAGGATTGCAATGCCTAAAGATCGATTTGTCGATAATACAAGTGGATATCGAACAAAAATTCAGTCACCTTTGCCTGCTAAATCTTATCAATACCAAGCTCCTCCGGCGTGGAGATGCCGAGTTCCGCCAACGTGGGCTTCAGCTCCTGGAGCAAGTATGGATAGATGTCTTTGTGGGGGCCCGCTTTGTCCTGCAAAGCAAAATCAAACACCAAACCAATTTTAGTTCCTCCAAGATCGCAGCTTAAAGTACATCACTAGACATTCACAATATTTATAGTCAGCTGTTTGAGAAAGTGAAAAATAGTTTATATAGCAGACTAAGTACATATAAGCAAGAACTTTAATTTAGACAAATGCAGCAGGCAAATAACAGCTCATGATAATTGCTGCATTTTCCCCATTGATACAATTTACTAATAATTGCAATAAAACTCACTCGTGAAACTTTACACATTTGCCAAATTTTCAGAGAAATTTCATAAAATTTATGTAATAAAGTTGTCACCTTGTATGTATCTGAAGGTCTTATGACTCTTTTTACCAATGAGTTTGCACCTTGAAATATTTTGGAATGTAACTATACAGGTTTTGTGCTTGATACTGAGTGTGATATTTTTTTTATATTTAGTATTTTATTGTGATGTTTGCAAATTTTAGACTTTCCCTTTCCATTGGGACACAGCTTGTACGTTCTGGCAGAAGGACTAACTATGGAAATAAGCCTTTGGACTAGTTGTAGTGTGTTTACATTTTTTTTGTAACTAAAGAAATGTTCATTCATGTACAATGTCCCGAATTGAACAAATAAATAATGCAAACTGTGAAGGAGAGCTGATAAGTGTCTATGTCAAGCTCACTTTGACAGCCTCCAGGATGCGGATGGCACTGGCCAAGTCATTGAGTCTCCGGCACGCCCGAAGAGCTGAATCCAGGATCTTGGCCTCGGGTACCAGGTCATACCCAATCAAAGTGTTCATCCCTTCCAAAAAACAAAACAAAATTATTCAATACTTTCCTTCATGTTGCTGCTTCATCTCCATTGACTCAAATTTAGCCAACCTTTCTTGAGTTCCCAAGTGTCAATGTCGGGCTTGTTGAAGTAGGTTACCCAGCGGGCATCAAACTCCTCATCCGTTTCCACTTTGGCATGTGAGTAACATCTGGAAGCTAATGGAGCTGAAAAACATAATGTGCGAGTTTTATTTAGAGCTCCATCAAGCTGACAGCTTTTCTAAATAGTTTTGAGTTTTGATTTGGAACTGGTTTTGTTTTCAGCAATTGCTTGAGTCAACTTAACTCGTCAAATAATGGAATTACAGTTTTGTTTTTTTTTTTAATTTTCAAACCATCTGGGAAAAATTAATTTGTTTGGGAATGCTCAGGCGTGGCACAATTGACTTTTACAAGGCTTTTAAAATGAAAGTGGGGGGAAAAAAGGTGAAGTTCATGTTATTTATTTCCTTTTGGGGGGGCCATTTCATTCATTATCTTGACAAAATGACTTGAATACATCAATACAATCAATTAAGAATTTTAATTGTTGTCACCTTAAGCAGTTAACAAATAACACATGAGTAAAAGGTAAAAACGTGATAAATGCCATCAGTTGTATCTTGCTACCAATTTTTTCAAATCTTGGCACTACTCAAAACAACAAAAAAAAAAAAAACAAAGGGAATTAATAACATGGCACAAACTAAGAATACAAAGAAAACACAAAACATACTTTCCAAAAAAACTCTTGAAAAACCTTACAATATCACATGTGGCTATTTTTCAAATTAATTTTTTCTCCCTCCGTGTTTGGATTATCTCGGGCTAATGACTCTTGAACTCACCAAGTTGGGTCAACACAAGGTCGTGACATTTGAATTAAACATAACATTTTGAGCTTTGTTTTACATTAAAATGAACACACATTAAAACGTTTAGGGCTAATATTTGTCATTAGCGCAGTGCTTTATGAATAATCAAATACATTTCAATGTGACCCTTTGCTACCGTTTACGTTCAAATGCTAACTTAGCTAGCTAGCCGCCCGCACATCAACTATTTCCTTTCTTCTTTTACGTTTCTCCACAGTAAACGTTATCTGTTTGTGAAGCAAGGCCTCCTACCTGTGTGTCCGGGTCGGAACCGGGTCGCCAAGGTTCGGGCGCCTGTAGTCGAGAGCCGGAAGACAGCAGGGAACATAGTAGTGAGGCGGATGCTAACTACTAAATGTGAATGTGTGGCGGCGACTCGAAAGGACTCTGGACGCCGGAAGAAGACGAAAGGGCCTCACGTGACTGACGTAAATAGCCGAAGCCGGTCGGTTCAAACTGGCCTGTTGAATCCTAAAAGTGATTTCTACCGCTAGGGGGAGAGCTTGGTGTAAAAATAAATTGAAATAGGCGTTTCAGTTCCAGCAGTACACTCAACAGAACTAACCGATTAACAGACCAGGCCAAAAAGAGTAGCCTACAATTAACTTGTTGAAGGAAGAAAAGATGGATGGTGTAACGGATGAAAGGCAAGAAGGATAGAAGCAAGGTAGTAATGAAGGACGAAGGAAGGAAGAAAAGGGCTCACTACCCTCACCAGCCCAGTTGAAAACCAAACACTGACCTTAAAACCCTCATTTGAAACCTTAACTCAAATCTTGGCCTTAAGGCATGATTTTTAAACCATAACCACAAATCCGAACTCAAGTCTAAAACAATTAACTGAAAATCCTACACCTGTCTAATAGCCCTATTTCGAAACCGTAAACCTTCCGTGAAACCTTAAACTTTAAATGCTTTATTTTTAAAAGTATATTGACTGAGATTTATTTGGACCCATCCGGAGACCGATGTTCTGTTTCGATATTATCTCCTATGTTGAACATTTTAAACTGAATTTGGATGTAACTCAGCCATGTTGTGTGTATTTATAACTGTGTGTATGGAGTAGGAGTCACAAAATGGATGTAGAGCGGATTAGTCGCTCTAATCCCAATCCTGTAGGCCCAATGCACCATACTAGACACCCGTTCGTGTAATTCCCTGCTGCACCTCTCTTTTATTTTTGTCATATGTCAAGAAGAAATACTTTCAAATGAGTGATTAAGATAAGCTCCTTGACTTCTGACCGACTCGCTGCAAAGTAAAAGGTCATTTCTTGGAATAAATGAGAAGTCTTGTAGCATGAACGTCATCAAAGGCTTATTTAATCCGATTGTAAATTAATTTCACATTAATTGAGTTCATGTGACCATGGAGGAGGTTATGAGGAAAATCAAATCTGGAATGAAAAAATACCAAAGAAGCGATTTTCTTTTTCTACAGTTCTGAAGGTTTTATTGGCTTTATTTTCCCAGGGTACATCTCTTTTTGCAGTGACTTGCTCACAGTCTGGAAAGGATGAAACAAACAGAGTGGCACGATGTAGCAGACAGGGCCGAGGGAACTGTCAGAGATATGGGCCGCTCCTCTGTCCATATATAGCACGTTAGGATATTTTTATACCGGCGAATGAATAATTAATGCTCGAGCAGAGGAGGAGCTGAATGTGCTAAAAGCTAAATGGCAAAGTAAGCCACCCACTGCTCTTTATAATCGATAAAAATGCCAGATGGAATGATTGGAACTTGGTCTGATTTCGCTCCCTGAGGACAAAAGCATAAATATATACAATCTCTGGCATCAGCATTTAAGTGACTGGAATCAAATTTTCATCATATACAGTATACACGTATATAGTCACTAAATCCAGATAACAGTCAATGTGATTGTTTTTTGAATATTATATATTACATTAAAAAAAAAACAGGAAGAGTGAGGGATGGGGAACCAACACATAACAATAAATGGAAGTGCTGATATGTGCAAACGTCTACATGTATCACAATAGAAGCATCATTTTGCAGAGGCGATACAGGGGTGGGCTTTAGGTGTTTCTCTGTATTTGTGTTTGTGCGTGTGTGCGTGTGTGTGCATGTGTGTGTGTGTGTAAAAAAAAATGTGTGGGTGTGTGTGTGTGTGTGTGTGTGTGTGTGTGTGTGTGTGTGTGTGTGTGTGTGTGTGTGAGAGAGATTTAGGTGTCCAGGGTGCTGCTGTTCAGCCACTGCCCAACATCTTTGTTGCACGCTGGTTGGCCTCGTCGATTCGGGTCTTGTTGGAATCGGCCTGCAAGAGGGAAGCGACATTCACGCAGACTTTAGTCAGTGGGAAAAATTGCACGTAAACTCTGCTGATATGTAGATACGTATTTAGATGTATCTGTGTAGCCATGTGTGTGGGGCAACGGGCTGGTGAACGCAGAAAGCTTGCGTCACCTTCTCCATGATGCGGTCGATCTGCCGGTTCTGGGTGTCGATCTCCTGGCCCATGTCCAGAGCCATGTGGCGCAGGTTGCCGATGATGCCGCCCACCTGCTCCAGGTTCTCGTCCATCTCGTTCTCGCGGGCGTCATCCGTTACCCTGAAACACACACACCACACACACATGGGCAATCACAATGTCAGCTTCTGAAAATATGAAATGCAAAATGACTAAACGTAAATGCTTGCCTACTACCATTTAGATACTACAAAGCAAATTCAGAACAACACACACACACAGGCACACGCAGACACACACGTTGTTACCTGCGAATAAAGCCTCCACTGATGGCCATCTGCTCACGCTCGTCTACCACCCGAGCGCCGGGCTGGCTGTTGACCACACCGTCCTGGTTGCCTCCCCAGGCCTGTCCCCCGCCCTTAATCCTACACCGCATACACATATACACGTCACTTGTGATACCAATGATGTGTGTGTAATCTATGTGTGTGTTTAAACATGCATACTGTACAACATACATTAAAAAAAAAAAAAAAAAAGAATTGGCTTGCTAGTAGCAACGCACATGCATTGACAGTAGAATCTGTGCAATAATTGATCCGGGATCAATTGGCGTCTGCGCCACACGCACGTCAATTATAACAACAATAATAATAGCAATAGTGAAGCACACAGAGAAGAGGACAAACACATACAGATGCACAAATGATGCACAAAAAGAAGGGGTGGGGGGGCAAGAGAAAAAAGGATGGCTGTGTCTACAAAAAGAAAGCCACATGGTTAGATTCAGTGTGGGAAATAATCCGAATAATAAAAACAGTGTGGGTGATGACTGATAGCAGGCCCTTCATTTCATCTGGATGCAAACACAAGCGCACGCACGCGCACACACGCACACACACACACACACACACCACACACACACACACACACACTCACACACACACACACACACACACACACACTTTCAAATTGTGTGGAGCACCTGGTGGGGCCTTTAAAACCTGTTTGATAACTACTGAAAATGTCACTTTGATCTCACATTAAAGCTAAAGTAAATGTTCCTGTTAACGTTTCAATTAGGACAATTTATTGTTTTTATTTGTCCAGCAGATGGCGTTACTTTGCCTTGCATGTTGTACCCGTTGCTGCGTGGGTTTTCTCCGGGTACTCCGTTTTCCTCCCACATTCCAAAAACATGCATGGCAGATTCATGGAACATTCTAAATTGTCCCCACTTGTGACTGTGTGTGAATGTTTGTTTGTTTCTGTGTGCCCTGCGATTGGCTGGCAAGCATGTCAGGGTAGACGCCGCCTGCTGCCTGAAGCCTGCTGGGAGAGGCTCCAGCACGCCTGCCACTCTGACACACACTGCGGATAAAGCGGTTCAGATAATGGATGAATGGGTATTTAATTTTTGAGCAATAATAAGAAAAAATAATAATTTCAATAATAATTTGAGAAACTGGCATAGGTGAAAACACTTGCCTTTTTATAATTTTATACATGTACACATACATGCGCGCGCACACACACACACACACACACACACACATACATACATACATACATACACACCCATATACAGTATATATATACTTTTTTTAGATGTATATATGTACTTTTTTTTCCTGACACCGCAAAACTATTGCAGTTAAATCATTGCCTCTTCTTTAGTAAAATTCTAGTTGAAATATTTCTATATTGCAATTTGTTTCAGTATTCTATAGAAATAATAAAATGTTCCCCTTTTATTTTTCAGGAATAAAAACATGAGGGGGGAAAAAAAGCCTTGGGTAGAAAAAAACAAAATGGGTTAAAAGCGTGGTTTAAAAACGCTCACGGGATGCTCCTCACAGAATGTTGTTGTGATGCTAGCGTTTGACCCGAGGCTGCTGTAAAGAGGCGCATGACGCAACTGTGGCTTACATAAGAGACTCCGTGTGCTTCGCCACAGACAGACAGTGTACAACGCAGGCACGAGTCTTGTTGTCAATACCTTTGATTTGATATTTTAAAATGGATCCAAATTAATATTGGATTGAAAAAAAGTTTGACTTTGCATATAGAGTACGGGTACACTGGTATGCGCATGTCAAAAATGTTTAATGAGCTGTATTCGTACGTTACCGCCTGAATTTGTCGATACCTGCTGTTCATGACATGATGATATATTAAAATGACATATTTAGAAAATAGCATGTTGCTGCTGTCCAATAAAAAAACTGTGAGCAGTATTACCAAAATAATTAAACACGTGGCGTGTTTCTAAACAGTCTCCAAATTACTTTTGATATTCATGTGCTTTTTTTCCTTAAAACAAAAAAAAGTATTCTAAGATAGGCCATTATTAGAATCTATTGTGTTACACCTTTGTTGCCAAGAATAGAAGCAGACAGCGTGGTCGCTCACAGTTGGCGTCACGGCTCAGTCATGGCGCCATGTGGGCCATAGTTTGGCTGTCGGGAGGCTTTGCGGACCAAAAGACATCATGTAAAGTGTTTGGGCACGTCGTTTGTCCAAATACGATGAAATCATGATATGTGGGGTTTCGGGTAACGGAATCGGGTTATAGGGATTATTGGGGGGGGGGGGCTCCGTGGTCCCTGCTGATGCTGCTACCTGCAGGAAAAGAACCTTTCATCCAATGAGCAATGAAGGGCTTGTGTGAGGGGAATCAGCCGTTAAAGGCTGGAGAGAAAAATGAAATGAAATTAAAGAAAAAAATAAATAAATAATCAAACCGGTTGTGGCGTTTTGTGTTATTTATGCATGCACGCAAGCTTTCACATGAGGTTAGTGTAAAGGGAACATTTCACCATGTTTTCAGCCTGACCTTCATTTTAGGGCCAATTCATATTTAATAGGAGCAAGGCTTCTTTGCGGAATTGAGCAAGAATGCAACAACTCAACTTCGGTACACTCATAAAATGGATCTGAGCCTTAAGCTCCCAGAAGTGTACCCATCAAACGCAATCAAGTAGACAAAAGTGTCCATGGAGTAGAGCTAAACAAGTCTAAAAACAAAATCTAATTGTGATCACCCCCACAATATTGGGATTGCAATTTAATAAACAATTTTTCTTTTTTTTTTTTTTTTTTTTTTAGATACAACAAAGGTAACGTTATACTGTATGTGGATGACTGTATGAGTCAAGACTGCACATGACGCTCCTCCATCAAGAGTCTTACTCTACCCCGTTGACCTTGTAGCTTCTTGCTCCATCTGTTTGGAATATATTTGTGTAAGGCTGAAAAGTGGCAGAATTTCCCTGAGTACAAGCAACACATCCATGCATGCGGTGCATCATCATCATCATCATCATCATCGTGCTGTACAGACCCAAAGCAGGCCGCAGAAGCACACCACCTACTTGTTACACGGACATGTACACAGACCACAGAACTGTCCTAGATTGTTCAAATTCTTTTCTGCATCCTTCATGTCCTTATTGATCTGGTCCATCCCCTCCTCGATGCGCTCCAGTTGCTCTGATTACCAACACAATGACATTTTTCCAGCAAAAGAGAAGAAGAAGAAGAAGAAGAAGGAGGAGGAGGAAGGTCAGAGGTTGGGGGGTGGGGGGGGGATGACAAAGGAGAAGAGACAAAAAAAAAAAAGACTGTGACAAGAGAGACATCAGACATCACTATCACGACCATCACTAGCGACATCACCAGCACTGGACAGGCAAGAGCGCGCGGCTCCTGGCCGGTACCTACTTTTTAATACACGGGCATATCAACCCACAGCACTGGCCTATATCTTTTAAATCTTTCTCGGCCTCCTTCAGGTCTGCGTTGACCTTGTTCATGCCCTCCTCCACGCGATCGAGTTGCTCTGGTGAGGACAAAGGCATGAGAGCATTGTCATTCACGCGGTTCCGAGCTCACGCCGGGGAGGCCAAGCGGGAGAGGAGCCTAGCGCACACTCGCGTGGCTGCTACTTTCTACCTTTCAGGGGGTGGGGGGCTCCTTGAATGTATACCCTCAAACTCACTTGTTTATGTGTCCTGGTGAAAATTGGGCATTTTAGCGGGAACCCACACAAGCACTCCACCCGGTTTGACTGAGGAGCACCAGCTTTTCTGGTCAATTCGAAATTGTTTGGAATAGCTTGTGTAACATCATAAATGAACAAGTACCCCATAAAAACTTGCCTACTAAAAAAAATAATAATAATAATAAAATCATGTTGCTAAGTGAGGCTAGCTTTGCTGGCTGGTTTGTCTTTGAAACAGTGAAAGAAGTCAATTTTGGGAGGATTCAAAACTCTCGTGGGTTTCTGAGACATTTTTAACTCCTGACAGACATGCGCACCAAATTTCCATGTTTTAAAGTGAAAAAAATGCCTTTGGGCACTCAATTCTTAGGAAAAAAAAAATAATTCTGAGAGGCAATATCGAGTCAAGTTTGGAGGGGATTCAAACCAAAATGGCAGACTTCCTGCATTTTTGGGGGTATGTCTTTTCGAGATTGTTTTTGGGAGGATCCACTTATGACAGACATGTACCAAATTTCAGGTTGCTTAATGAAAGTGGCTTATAAATTGCCTATAAAATTCCAAGAAGAAATGCAGAGTCAATTGATTTCAAATCAAAATGACTAACTTCCTGTTTTTTGTGACTTTTTTAGTGAGTCTACTCATAATAGGCATGCCTCCCAAATTTCATTTCACAAAGTGAAACTAGTTTCAGGGTATTAATTTTTTAACCTTCTCTTCCCAGCACTGATCACGACCTGACAAGAAGCGAAGGGAGAGCAGACATTCCATCAAAAAAATGTCCGTCTCCGTATCTCGAGCGTCAGTGAGGCACATTTAGACGTGGCTGCCATTCGCACGGTCGATAGGGCGCTAGGCTATTAAAACTAATTCAAGGTCAGATTGTCCCGCTGGTTCTTTAATGGCCGTAGCTTTAATGTCCATTGGGAGAAAGAGACACTTTGTCCTCTAGTGTTTGTTGACACTGTACTCAAGAAATGGTTTCTCATTCGTTATTTTGATGATTTTATGACTTTTGGCCCCTCCCCCCTCCTGTTTGAGGTATACCAAAGAGGTACAGTACAAAACAATGCTTAGCTAGTTTAGTTAGCTTAGTGAATCCTCTATTGTTGTCCTTTGTTGGCTTCTTTGAATGCAATTGTGGCTTCCACTGTGTTTTTGTTCTTAAATTGCAAATGCAATAAATCTATTGATGACTTGAAGTTCAGCAGTAAAGACATATCGATATTTTTTATTGATGGCCACCCCCCTGAGATGGATAAAAACAAGTGGATTTTAGTGGATTTTAATTATTATATTTGTATGACGGTTCAAATGATCAAAACGTTCCAGTTGGGGGTACTTGTAAGGGGGTATGGGGGGTTATTTGTCAGGGGTAGGGAGCGAGCCCTGCTGCAGAAAGTGAAAATCCACCTAAAAAAGGTTCTCAATTGTCTATGGATGCCACAAGAATGCAGCAAAGCACTACTTTTGTCTAAAGAAAGCATAGTACACTGGCATCAAGATGCCACCAGACAGCGTCAAAGCAATACTTTTTTTTCAGCAAGTAACTAAGAACAGGCTTATTATTATTATTTTTAAATCAGTGAATATGTCAATTCACGAAATCCAAAATGCAAATTCCGGGGATTCAATATGCTTAAAGTAATTTCATACAAGTTAATAAAGGCTATACAATTGGCCGCAGTTTGTTGCTTGGACGGATTATTTCTATTCCTGTAACATCCCATGGGAAAGAAAACGTCCTTCATTGCACAAGTGCCACTGTACCTTCAAGAACGTGAAGGCCGCGTGTGTTCGTGTGTGTGTGTGTGTGTGTGTGTGTGTGTGTGTGTGTGTGTGTGTGTGTGTGTGTGTGTATGGACATGATGTCAGAGTCAAGTGCAGGAGGCCAGGGTCCATCAGCCTGGTGCTTAACATCCCCTCTCAGAACACTAAAATGCAGGAAGCCATTTGCGGCTACCCTACCTGCACTGCAGTCAATGACTCGAAGCAGGCATGCCCAACCTTTTTGATTGAAGAGCTACTTTTCAAGCATCAACCTCCAGAGATCAACCCCGTTACCACACGTGCACGCATACACACACAAAGGCGTGCGCGCCCATGCATGCGGGCGCATAAGCACGCACACACTCATATCATGACGAGCAACGGGCATAACGGCCCCTGACACGAACGAAACTGACAAATAAAGTCGATACAAGAGTTTGTGGAAAGGAAATCACTGCCTACCTTAGTCAAGTCATGACGCGGAGGCATGGGACGCACTTTTGCAACGTGTTAATTTTATACTTTTAAGTCCAACAGAGGGACTGTCCTCCGAGACAAGTTTCTCCTATGGGAGACCTAATAAAAAGTCAAATCAAATCAAATCAAATTCAATTTGGTTCGATTCAATGAAGTTGCATCTTTTAAATCAAAACAGATTTTCCAATCAAAACACCCTTATAAGTGTTTTTTTTTTTTTATCTTTTTTTACTTACAAAAAGTAGCAAAAGAAAAGTTACATGAATATTGAAAAATACTCAAGAAAAATATGTTTGCTGAAATTGTTTTCTTTACAATAAACGATTCATATGATCTGGTCGGACAATTTTTCTTGAATGCAATCTTTGGCACAATTTTTTAGGATCCTGGTAACTTCTATCACAAGCTAGGAATCGTCACCAATTCATAAAAAACATTATCACAAGAATCATTGGCATACAACGTCATAAAAATAATGGCTTCAAGAACAGTTTATTATTAGAATTTATCCAACATTGAATGATGCGCTGATGGACTTAATTAACATTAATAGCCTTTAAAAGAAAATGTTATTGCCTAGGCATGAATGCACTGAAGTTGCCATATTCATTTTTTTTATTCTGCATTAATGCAAAAAAAGAAAATATAATCATGATGACTAGCACGATTTATGTGCAAAAGCCGCCAAGCAAAGTGTGCAGCGCATATTAGCCACAGTAGCTTAGCAACATGTTCTCAGCAGCATTTAGTAGGAAATATGACACAAAAAGGTGACGTGATGAACATTACTCTTGTGAAACAAATGCAAAATCCTCAAGCATTTCGTGTTAATATTGACCAAAAAATTCCCCCAAAAAACGACAATTTGGTTGGAATAAAGCCCTACTAAATTTTCACGAGAACAGGCTGCTCATAAAAAAATAAAAAATAAAATAAAAAAATGTTCTGGCCTGCATAAAGTGCTGTCACTCCGCATTAATTCTCAAAGCAAAGAGCAGTTCAAGTTGAGGAGAAAAGCGGGGCACAGAGGAAAAAAAAAAAAAAAAAAAGGTCAAGAATGGACGTTTGGGGACATTTCCATTGGTAACTCACCTCCCTGCTCGTCCAGCATCACCAGAGTCCTGATGCCGGCATCTTTACTCTATCGCAGTGGAAGAAGAGGAAGAAGAAAAGAGGAAGAAGAATTGCAATCAGAGAAGTTGAAAATAGGAAACGGGCTTAGGTAGAAACGACAGAATGGATCGATTCACCTGGACCCTCTCTTCTGGACCAAACCCTCCAAAAAATAAGAGGGTCAAGATTGACAGTTTGAGACTGGATCTTCTGGACTAAACTTTCTAGAATGCATATTATGGTATCGAATGTCGGCATACATTTTCTGGAATGAGACAGTTGGACTGATTCTTCTGGGTGAACCAACTTGGACTGAGCATTCCAGAAAGAACACCTCCTGGAGTGAACCCTTTTGGAATGGATCTTCAGGACAAAGACTTTAGAGTTAGTCTTCTGAATTTCACGCTAGGCACGAAGCGTCATGGAATAAAAATTCTTTTTCGACTGAACTGTCCAGATTGAGTTTTAGCAAACCTACTGGATAAAAACCACTTGGAATTATGGACTAAAAGCTTCTGGACTTGACTATCTAAATGTTCTCGAATAAAATGAAATTTACAAAAAAAACAACAAAAAAAAAAAAGAATTCATGTTGGATCTTTTGGTTTACCGTTCTCGAATGAAATGAAATCTATGGACTGAGCCTTTGAGATTCAACCACTCTGGACTGAACTTTATGGCAATAAACCAGCTGGACTAAATCTTATAAAGTGAATGTTCTGGGCTAAAATGTATTAACTGTCCAGAATTCCAGTCACAACCAAGAATGAATGCTCTGGAATAAGTCTTCCGGTATGAAGAAGCTGACGCGTCAAGAACTTGTGCACTTCATTTTCAAGAAGGAGCCTGATGGAAGAATTTTCTGGACTCATTCTTTTCCACAGTTCCACTTTGATTTCATGTTTGCTTGTGTGTTGTGTTCACTGGACCCTGTACTTGAGCTTTGTTGACAAAGAAGCCGTCATGTCTAATTTGCGTTGTTGCTCTAAAAACACACACACACACACACACACACACACACACACACACACACACACACACACACACACACACACACACGCGCGCGCGCGCACACGCGCACACACACACACACAAGGACACACTTGATTAAACACACACTAAGCTCAACCAAACAACAGCTTCCTACTCCCCGTGAGCTCCTCCCACAGATATTCCGGCTTCACGCATCAACTCTTCTGCACCCGAGCGTCATGTGACCTTCTCGGCGAGACCACAAGGCACACACACACACACACACACGCCCGCTCGCTGGTTTCAGTGATACTCGGATCGCTTGCGCTGGCTCAAAAAGATTTCTTGACGGGGTGATTATGAAGAATCAGCGCTTGCTTAGCCGCTAGGAATTGTGGAAGTGGAGATACGGCCCTCCCTATCCCGCGCAACTATGCCGAATGACATGAAAACATGTAGTGACATCATTTATTTAGGTATGGCTGGGATAGAATGTTCACCTTTTTCACATTTAATTAACAATTTACGATATTTTTTTTCAGATCTCCTTGACTTGAAGAACCTTTGACTCTTTTGTCCTACTGTATCTTTTGGAGAGAATGTCTCTCAACGCACACTTACAATGTGTCCAAACAGACCATAAGCCATAGACAAGTTATTGCAAAAATGAATTATGATAATATTATGTAATAGATAATTATCAGTCATGAAAAAGTAGGTAATCATAATGCATTTATGACAAAGACAAAAATAAAGAAAATGAGAAGAAATGAATAATCCATCCACCAATCATGACAAAACATTGCATTTGTTTTTGGGTTTTTTTTTTGCAGTTGCTCATCCACATCTGGTTGGCGCTCGCAACGCAGCAAGACTTTATGAGGTCACGCTGTAGGAGAAAAGCTCCCATCGCGCTCCGCCATCTTGTACATGAAAGGTCATGCGCGAGGAGAATTAAAGGGGATCACATTAGCACGAGACAAGGACGCTGACCTCGCAGTGCCAACCTTTCTCGGCCTGCCAGCAATCGTAAGAACAGCGTGGACATCCTTAATGTCCCCGGCTATTAAATCATGTCATGAATCCGATCTCTTTGACTACTTTAGAGTAGCACAGCGGGGACTGATGGTGATGATCTTCATGCATTGTAAATGTAAGTGCTGCTGTTTATCATGGAGTGTCCTTCCTGCCGAGTCTGCCTGTCCCGTGCTTATTCAATTAGCCTAATCTTTACCCTCGGCCTAAGGCCACAAGGCGTGCATGGGCACGTGTGACCGACCGTAGGACCGGGGAAGAGAACAGGAACGCACTCCTTGCCTTCTTTGTTGTGTCTTGAGCTTTGGAGGCTTGTCACAGAGACTTGCACGCACACAAACCAACAAAGAACCAACTCAACCAAGTCTCCGTCGGCTGCATGTGGGCCCTAATTCAAGTGGACTCGAATGATGAAAATCCAGTCCTCAAAAATGTGGTTATGCCGCTTTTAGAATAATTCCGCAAAAGAAGTGTAAACTTATATTATTAATTATCATTTTATGTTTAGGTATCATATTATTTCATGTTAAGATTACCTAAATTACATCATGTTTTTTAATAATTGCATAGACATGTTTTATGTTGATGGCTTCTGATTGGCTGAAGAAAAGGAAAGCAGTTGCCGAAGAAGTGTGTTCTCGATCGCACTGCGGTGCAGGCGTTTGGAAAAAAAAAGCTGCGTTCAAACGGAGTCCATCTCTCCTTTTACCCGTTCTTAACGTAGAGCCATCCATTCATAAACAACGAACCCCTCAACTTACATGAAGTAACACGTAACAAACCACGTTCCTTTTGGCGCTAACTACCATATTGGCCCGAATATAAGACGGGTTTTTTTTGCATTGAAATAAGACTGAAAAAATCGGGGTCGTCTTATATTCGGGGTCTCGACATTATACCCATTCACAACGCTAGATGGCGCCAGATATCATTAAAGCGAATGCTGAACTTGACACCCCAGGCCAAAATGAACACCTGTCACGAAGAATAAAAATAAAAATAGCGGTAGCACAAAGAAGAAAAATAAAAAATAGCGGTAAGAAAGAAAAGAGAATAAAATAATAGAAGCGATAACAGAAAATGGAGAAACGTAGCGACAATCTGGAGAAAAGTGGGTCGAATATCGGCCAGGTTAACCGGCACCTGAGGAGAAGTTATGGTGTAAACTTCAAAATGCTTTTTCTCTCAAATATATTTTTATAATCATTTGTTTCAGGTGTACTGTAATTATTTTCTGTATAAAAATTAATTTGGTGTTGAAAAAGTCTATTTTCAAACTTGAGCCTTGAAAAAGAGGGGGTCGTCTTATAATCAGGGCCGTCTTATATTCGGGCCAATACGGTAACTAGCCAACTAGCTAGCTAACTAACCAGTGAACTGATTGAGTTGTCTATCAACCATCATCCAACTATCTGACTAGTTAACCAACTAACTACCTCACCAACCTATCAACCAACCGACCCTGTAAATGAATAATTCCTGAATCAACTCTGTTGTCTATTAATCCTCCATCTGACTGACTGACTTAACCGACTAACTAACTAACAGCCGCCAAAGCATAACCTCACACACGTATTGTGCTTGAAGGTAATAAGAACAACAGATGGAGTTAGCTGTTTGTGCAACCGTGTCCATTCCATTGCTCAAAGACACAAGTGTCCCCGGCAAGTTGTGTGCTCGTTGAGCATTTGCTGTGTTAAGCGGGTCCCCTTCAGTCCTCGGGCCGATCCCCCGCAGCCGCTGAGCTCCTGCCAGCCCGACTTATGCAAATGTAGCCCGATGAGCTCGCGTAAGGCCAGCTGCTGCTGTCTTATTCAAGCGGGACATTATGCACGCTGCGCTATTTTTAAACTCCTCACAACAGACGACGACGACAACAAAAGACATGACAAGTTTGACCTAAAAGTGGAAACTCATCAGGGTGCGTTTGATGTGACACACAGCAATGCCCGATAGTGACTTTTTCTCGAGCGTTGAGGTGAGAGATTGTGAGATGTACGAGGGTCAGTGAACTCACCTCCTCCACCAGAGCCAGCATGCGGCGAGTGCTCTCAAGAGACTGCAACACAACAAGACAATATTAGCATAGAACATGTGAATGCTCTTATCGTGGCATTATTATTATTATTATTATTATCATTATTATTATTATTCATCATCCTGTCACTTCTCTGCCTTTAATTCACTAAATTATTCTCTCTCCTTTCAAGATACTTCCAAGCACATTCCATTTTTGCAATCCTCCACAAATCAAGTCATCCTTTCTATCCTCCTCCTTTCTATCCATCCTTGCACCTTTTTATCACTGCATTCATCCACGAGCCCTCTCTAAGCCTCTCTGGTTCTGTATGATGTGCTGATGAATATTTAATGAGCTCATTGGAGCCGCTCTGTTATTCTGAGCTCCTCTTAGCTCATTAAGCGGACCAAGTCATGTCAGTGTTTTAGCATTTTACCTCGTCGGCTATCTGGTCGGCGCGAGTCTGCAGGTCGGCCAGCTCGTTGCGCATGTCCGCTTCGTCCGCCATGTTGGGTGTTGAAAGTTGAACTTAACCTAACTGGACGAAGAAAGACAAGATGGTCAGAAGATAACCAGAAGAAAGAAATACTGGCTAATTGCTGTTGAGGGCTGCACAATGCCGCATTAGATGCTCGGTCCTTTCTGTAGTTGAGTAACAGGAGTGGCTGATTGTGCAACACAAGTGTTACATTATTTACACTTTATCGCAACACCCAAGACTACCTGATGTGCACGAACATTCATGTGTGACTCTCACAACCAGAGAACCAGGAGAAGGAGCTCCATCCATCCATCCATCCACAATCGCATTTGAAGACATGAATTAGTTGGACTCCAGTGCCCAAATTGTATTTTATGTCCGCTTTAACACGGTTTGTAGTATGTGTCAATTCAATTTTCTGCTCAGGAATTGTATGGCAGGTTAATGTAATGAGGACCGTGTAGAACTGAGACATGATTAACAATAGTGAATAGGCCTGAAGTATTTCGAAATAAAAAAAATCATATGATTTTTCTCCCGTCAATATTGTGATTGTGACGCAATTATTTTTGTCAAGGTCCTCTTCCCATGTATTTTTTTAAAGAAACACAAGCAATGATTGAATCCGTGTTAGGACACACATGATGAGATTCATTATACAGAAATGTTTTGGTCTTGCACGTGAGGCATCTTTATGCTACAAAGCTAGCATCTCCCACTCGCGTCGGGATGTTTGAGTCGAGCCAGTGTTTAAGTATAAGGAAAGTATGAGGTCGCACATTGAGTGGTCTATGATGATGTATCCGCATCCTCCGCCCATCTCCTCCTCCTTAATAATTCAACACCCACTTTTTTGCACTCTAAAATATTCATATCCACATTTTACATTCCCACCATGAAAATAATGCAAGAGAGGTCAAATATAAACACACTGCGTTGGCCACATAGCATAATTGCCCTTTTCAATATTCTTGGAAAACAAGATGACACGAAAACACTGTTTTTAGAACACGCACTGGTATTTTTTTTTTAATTAGCTGGGTGACCAGGTAAGCACGGACACGAAAACACTATTTTTAGAACACGCACTGGTATTTTTTTTTTTTAATTAGCTGGGTGACCAGGTAAGCAAAAGGAAAAAGTGTACTCTAAATATTTTGTATTTTCTTGTTTTCCAAAAATATTGAAAAATGACTTCGGCAAATATGCTACGTGGCCGACGATATGTTGATTTGGGGTCCCTAATCGAGTGACCCAGTAAGTGTCTTTTCAGTTTGTGGAGCGACATCCGTCCATCTGCCCGGCAACTTGTTATTGATTGTGTGCTTATCTTACTGCAGTGGGACAGCTTCCTGGCTGTCTGAGGCTTCTTCCAATTTCCTCCCGCCTCCTCTCCTTCCCATATTTTAAAAATGGAAATCTGCAGCGTCGTCCCTTACAATGGACAACTGATATGGAGTTGATGAAGTCTTTCCGCTGCTATCTATTGATCATTACGACATAGCAGGAATACATTTCAATGATGGTCTACTGGTTATATTTGCTTCATTGGCCTTTGCGATGTTTGGATAAAACCCTATGCATGCCACCTTGCAAAAAAAATTGCAAAACCTGTGTGGAAATTTGAAATTAAAACACGTGTGATTGATTTGGTTGATTTAATAGAAAAATTTCAAATGTAAGTTATTGCCTATTACTCATTAATTTAATTTGATTTATTTATGACAGGGCGGCCCGGTGTCCAGTGGTTAGCGCGCCGACCTCACAGTGAAGAGGTATCGGGTTCGATTCCAGATTCCTGTATGGAGTTTGCATGTTCTCCCTGTGCCTGCGTGGGTTTTCTCCGGGTACTCTGGTTTCCTCCCACTTAATGTTAAATGACTTTAATGGCAACGGTCTGCCACCTGATCTTCATCTTCACAGCCATCAAGTCAAGGCCCTGACATGCCCACGCCCCACCCAATCTGCTGGTTTGACGGACAGCGGCTGCCAGGCTCAGGAGGATTAAAGTCAGAACGAGGAAAAGAGGATTTAGTCTCGCTCTCCACTCTCTCCTCAAACGCCATTTCCTCCCTTTGTCTTTCCTACGCACACAACGTAAGCGCTCGGGTTTGACGTTTGGTACGTCGGCAAGGCACAGTGGTTCTAAAATGATCAGTACACAAGTGCGTTAGACTTCTCTGGCACGCTGTCACGGATCGCGAGGCAACGTCATCGCGAGACAGAATTGCTGCAATCGCGGTCTTCTTTCCCACATGCGTTGATGAGGAACAAAACGAATAATTAAGAGAGTAAAAAAAAGATATGGAGGAGACCGCATTCCGAGATAGAATACATAAAAAAGGGGGAACTACAGTGTTTACAGCTTGAAGTGAAGCGTTCTGGGATATGAGCATTCGTCTTGGGGGGGTGAAGTGACGTCACGTCAATGCACGATGTCATGCTTCGACTGCATGAAAAATAACGTCGGAGGAAGCAGAAGGATTCTCAAGATGGAAATCCAGCCACTATTTGAACTTTGTGTCAGGTCAAGAAAATATTAAGGTCGGTTGTTGGTACACTCAGTCTCTGTGGAACTGAATTATTTTGAAATGTTGAATGGAAGTCATTCTTTCTACTGTTCTCTTGCTCTCTTATGACTGCAATTTCATGGCAGGATACATGCTCGCGTTCCAGAAGATATTACAAAACGTGCTCTGTCTGGATGCTGTTAGACCTCATTCTTGAAGGGCGCTTTTATTTGTTTCATTATTGAAATTGTATAACTTATGAACATGTTTCATTTCTCATTTCACAGACGTTTTTTTTTTTTTTTTGTTTTTTTTAATCTTTGTCTGGCTGCATCTTGTCACCCGGGGTTAAATAAAGGAGTCAAAGAAAATAAGAGATTGTGTCATGTCGTGTAACGGTTGGGGTTGTTGAATTATCCTTTATTATGACTTCAATGTAATTCAGTTATTCATGGCAACCGCTGTTGACAGATGCAATGTCGAACTCATAAACTTGCCACATTACTGACAAGCAACTGTACATTCTAAGAGCAATTGCATATCCCACATTCATGACAAACATTGATTAATCAAATCATGTTTTCACATAGGCTATCCCAAAAAAAAAATGCTTAAAGTGGAAGTCAATTCAAGCAAAAATTATATAATAATAATTAAAAAAAAGAAATGAAGCAAAGTCCCCATGTCCCAATATGATCTGGCAATAAATATCACAGCTCAGAAAGTTTTGTTCAGTCAACCACAGTGCTTGAGAACCCTGCTCTGGAATAGTGAAATTAGTTTGAAGCGGCAGCCAGGCATGTGATTGGTGTGGCTGGAGAGCAGAGGTTTCATGTCAATGTAAACAGTAAGCTGGAGGTTAACGCACTGCATGAGAAATACAAAGAAAAATCTTCATCATCGTGGCGGTTTAAATACGTACGTGGCCTCAACGTGGATGTAAGTCGTAACGGTAGTAGCAAAATGAATTATGCAGTCTACAAAACTATTTTGTCGGGCAATTTACAGAAAAATGCATCCAAACAAGAGGCCGCGTCATCATGCAAAGTAAATGATCTAAAATACACGACAGAGGACTTCATGAGGCAGGAAAAGTGGAAGGTCTTAGACTGGCAAGTCAATCACCAGACCTGAACCCAATCGAGCATGCATTTCACCTCCTGATGAGGAGGAACTCACAAAAACTGAAAGAGGCTGCAGGAAAAAGGCCTGGAATAGCATTTCAAATGAAGAAAGCTTTTGCAAAGCACTGTATTGATTATATTCCCTGCTGCGATAAGAACATCTTTTTTTTTAAATCAGTACTGAGACAAATAAAAAATTAATAGCACATCCACAAATACAGTGCACACATACAAACTGTGTGTGTGTGTGTGTGTGTGTGTGTGTGTGTGTTTTGTCAAAGCATGCTGACCTATAAACAAGAAGCACACACGCATGCTAGGATGTAAGCAGGCCACAGAGCATCATGGCTGCCCGGAGCCTAAGAAAAAAAAAAAAAAAAAACTATCTCAAAGCTCTATTAAATACACATGGCCCCCTTTAAAAAACCCCCACCCCCCCCCACACACACACACACACGCATGCGCACAAAGCCTGTACGCAAGGTGGTGCAAAACGTCAGCCAGCACCAAAGGATCACGTCGTTTTCTTTGTTTTCGTCGGAGCAGCTATTCAAAACATTGCCTCGTCGTCATTGGTTGCCATGAGAAGCTGTAGAACATTGATTGTCTTTATTAATATATCAGTATAAAATAATGTAATTCTGTTTGGTGGACCTCCATTTTGACAGATACAAAATTTCCCATTGGAAGTAATGATAAGGTACTAGCCATCCATTTTGTTCAGACGAAGGGACAATTAGTTCCGTAAACTCCTATTTCTTTGTTAAAAATGCAGGAAAGCCAATTTTCACATTAACAAATCTTCAAATATTTTGTTGAGTTGCCTATTTCAAAAATGCATCATAGTTTGCGACCTTGAAAGTTTGAGTTAATCCAACTTTTTTGTTTGTTTGTTTCCAGTGTTGTTTGCCAACTGTCGTGAGCCATCGAACACTCTGGGAGCAGCTAGCTCCTAGCCGCTAACGGCAGCGACATCGGCTCTAATGTAAGGTCGGATACCAACTTGAGCGATGCAAAAACAGCCAAATTACAAGTCAGTCGAGATTTTGGATGACAGTGACAATGTGTTGCTTGTCATTGACTGAAAATGACATCACAGTTAGTCAGGGCTCAAGTTACGAACAATCACAGCTCAGCCCGGAGCATCGATGATGTCATTTTCAGTTGACGGCAAATGGCAAAATGGCTGCTCCCTGAGACGGATAAAAACGAGTGGATTTTCCCGATTAATTTCAGATTCCACAAACACAGTAATAAAGTATTCATCAAATTAGACAAGTGGGTCCGCATAGAACATTTTTACAATTGAAAATGTGACTCCATACATCTCCTGTACACTTAAAGTTCATGTGATTTAAGTACACTATATGTATTACTTATGATGGCGGCGTGGTGATCCAGTGGTTAGCGTGTCGACCTTACA